TATGTTCACCTCACTGGACTGAGACATTTTAACCCCTAATTAACTGCATTCTTTTGTGGAGGACTGGTAGTATGTGTGTGAGCTAAAGGTATTTGAAAAAGAAAGGTGTGCAGAAACTGATTGAACATGAGTCTGTTTTGTCATTATGTTTTTTTTTTGGCATTACCTTGTTAATATTCTTGATGTTACTATCAAGGTAAAGCTTCACCTGCTCTAAAGGCCTAAAAGTTTGAACATTGACCTTTTGATTGTAATATTAATATCCATTTTACAAGAGATAATCCATCTCCTACTTCAAAATAACGTTAAAGTGCAATGACATGAGGATTGGGCTCACAAATATTAGAAACACTGTGGCAAACTTAATACATTCATCATCAATATGCATCAGGCATTTGCTACTGGATATGTTTTGGCCACTTGGGGCAATAAAAACAAGCTGATGCAGTGACCTTGTTAGCAAACAGCTGCTATCCAGACCAGGAGGGAGAGAAACATAAGCATCCATTTGCAACTGGGTCTTATATCCTCTCATTTTAGTTCTGTTTTGTTCTCCACTAACTCATGCGGAGCAAATATGTGACTTGTTAGCAACTAAATACTCACAGGCTAGTCGCTAACATGGTCTGTCAGCTGCTTTGGGCTAGAAAGGTACATTTTGTCTGAAAACAAAGCTGATGAGAGCAGTCAGAGTGAACCAGTGCAATAAAGTGGTGGGCCTTGAAACAAAAACAATGAGCTGAAAGATGCTAAAACCATATGGCTGAGGGGAAGTTGCATTATAATTCCTTGTGGGTTTGTCACTATGAGCTACTCCTTTCACACACATTTGATCCATTATTTATAGAAAATATTCAGTATAGCAGCTTCGGCTAAGAGCTGATTTTTGAGCAGACCTTTTAAGTGCCCTCTCTAATATACAGTATGTGGCAAAGTTATTGATCCTAACTCTTTAAAAGCCATATTTAATGCAGAACTTAAATATCACAGCTAACCAAGTGGGGGTTGTGGCCTTACATTGTTTCTTCTCAAATGACTAGAGGATAAAGGTAAACATCTATGACACAAACACAACACTAAAGGCTCAACTGATAAATGTAATAAAATCTGATATGAAATCTGAATCATATTTTCATTGTTTGTTTTTATCAATAAGAATATTCTTTAAATAAAAATGAAAGCTTTATTAAATTACCTAATATACTCTCATATGCACCTACAATTATTATATTCCAAAAATTAAACATTAAATACTTTGTTTACCCTTACAATCAAAATACAAAGCCCCTGTTCACACACTTATTTTTGGCAACTTTTTATATGATTTATCTATTGGTAGTTTTAAAAGCTGTGCAGCTATATATTTAAAGCCTACTGCAATTAACACAATTATACTAGCCCTTATTTTCACAAACACATATACATATCTGTACACACCATGAATGGCATCATCACATAATTTCTGCACAGAGCGTAAACTTCCTCCCTACAGCCACTAACCCTCAAACCCAATCATCTCTCCCAGTAAGTCCTGTCTGCATTTCCCATGGAGTTGCCCTGCAGCTAAGAACATCTCCATGCTCCTGGGACTGAAGCACTGTCTTGACCACATGTATCTATTTACAGACATTGCTGCCTCCCACAGTGTTCTCACCAGGACGACACACACAGACAGATCTGGTGTGGAAAGAGGAAGTCCCGAAGGCAGGGCTCGACCAAATGACACAGTGGAGAAGTGAGGCACCGTGTGAGCAAGGAGACAAACTGTGGAGTATGAAGTTTGAGGCTGCGAAGAATGTCAAGAGGGCGGCGTGAAAGGCCTGCACTTAACAAACTCCCACTGCAGCATCCCAGAGAGGAAATAAGAGCTGGTGTTAACATGCTGGGAAAAGGCAAAATAATAGAAACTGCATGCAGGATGAATGCAGCAAATACCAGTGTGGTGAAGCTCATAATGTTTGAACTGTACAGTCACAAGTCACACACATAACTTTGCTTAGCATTATTTATGAACAACATCTGGAGTGTCTTGCAAAATATTTATGCAATGTTGGCCATCTACATACATACCATGTGCTTAATAAACAGATGCATAGAAGGAAATCTACTGAGTAGAAGAAAGACGTCCAACAAGCTGATTGAACTGATGACATTTAACATTTCGACAGTGAGGAAATATGAGTGTCTGGTGCTGAATAGCACACAAGCTGCTTTTTCTCACAGTAACATAACATAAGAGTTTCCCCAATAGTTGAAGCATGTTTATTGGATTTGGATGCAAATCCTCTTTTGGAATATCTAAGCAAAGAGACTGAGGACATGAAGCTGAACACATGCAAGACCCTTATAAAGCCTTTCTCTTGTCTTAAAAATGTAAAAAAATTGGCATCACGTGTTCAGCTTAATGGATCTTGCTTGCTTCAGGGTGTGACTGGCAAGACAAATTTTCATTCAGGTAGTTCACAGTGATTTTCATAATGCATAAAAGACAATAAATAAGAATCCGCATATGGAATTTAAAACAAATTAAAAGGGAATAAAAAAAAGATGAAAATGATAAAATAATAGAGGAGAGTGCAAGGTGAAGCAGCAGATGCCTAAGATTTAATTAAGTTTTTAGCCTTGTTTTAAAGGTGAGTCAGACTTCAGATAAGGCCTATATCCTCAGATACAGTCATGTGGACCATGTTAAGTGATGCTGCTTCTTCATGTTTAATTGGACTCTTGGTACTGGTACATGATGACATGAGGCTGATATCAGGAGCTAAACCAGACAATCAGATGCATTTTTAAACCAGACAGACAAACAGGAATATTTTATCCTAAGCCAGCGCAGAGACCTGAGAAAAGACTATTGTTTCCATCATGCATAAAACAAAAGGATGAACTTATTTCTCCAAGCCGGTCTGTAAAAGAAACCTCTGATACTTACAATGTTGTGACTCAAGTGACTCTAAACATAATTGTACAACACCTACATGAATCTATATGGACTTCCTGTAGCAAATTATTCGCCCTCATTAGTTAACATTGCTTACATGCCACACGATCCTTCAAAACATGCAGCCTTGGCCCAGTGTCATTCACTGTTCCCAGCTGCGGTGTGCGATTTGCCCTCCCTAAAATGTTCATATGGTCCCAGTGTGACAGTCTTTCCTGAGTTGTCACAGTTCCACAGACCACAGTGTAATACGTTTGGTTTATGTCTCTAGCTCAGCTCCTTGAGTGAGAAGAGAGGAAAGAGCTGGAGACACAGCCTGCAGCGAGAAACTTATGATCTCAAATCTTTTCTGGAGCCCTCAATGAAGAAAACAACTATATGATTCCACAACCAGTAATCAGAGCTGTCAAAGTGAAGTTTCAGTTTGAGAAATCTCAAGTCAAATCTCAATTCCTTAGTTACACATTTTGATAAATAGGCTTTTTTTTGCATTCTTGCCATGCGTTTGATGAGATAATCAGTATCATTCTTATGTCTGTACAGTAAATATGAAGCCACAGCCAACAGTTGGTTAGCTTAGCTTAGGACAAAGACTGGGAACGAGGGCAAACAGGCTCTGTGTAAAGTAACAAAAACCAGCACCTCTAAAGCTCACTAATAAATATGTCATATCTGGTTTGGTTATTCTGTAAGGCCAGAGTGTAAAAGGGGTGTTATGTGCTGGACTATGTTGTTAGCTTTGGATGAAGTAAGACAGTTTCACCCTGTCTCCAGTCTTTGTGCTAAGCTAAGCTAAGCTAAGCAGCTCCTGGCTGTAACTTCATATTTACTGTACAAACATGAGAGTGATAGAAGTCTTCTAATATAACTCAAGACAGAAAGCAGATAAGTGTATTTCCAAAACAACGCCATTAAAGATAAATCCAACTTAAAGCCACAAATCCACAAATTGCAAGTCTGTTGTAGGTCTTTTAGGTATCTGAATGCTGACCACTAATGTGAGCATTTTCCTTTTTACGGCCATGTTAATAGTTATTCTGTTTTTTTTAACACAGTTGAGTCCAAGTCCTACCTGCATAATTATAGTAATTCAATACTCAAGTGCAGCTATGCAAGCCACACTTTCCTTTATTGTTCTGAGATTTCACTGGGTCAAAACTTGATACTTAAAGGTTTTTGCTTTCAAAACTTAAGCGAAGTCTTAAGGGAGTTAAGTTTTAGTCGATTCTGAAGTCCTCATATTTGCGACTTAAGTCTAATTTGACAGTTCTGCCAATAATCAACACCTGTAGTAAACCAGTCAATGGTGGAATAGGAAGTCAAACTTTAACTTAAGTAAAAATGCACATGTTAGCATTAAAATATAATTAAAGTACTAAAATTAAAATGACTAATTATGCAGAATGACTCATTTTAGAATAACGTAGGCTATATTATATTATTGGATTATAAATATTGATGTGTGCATCACTTGGTGGAGGTGGAGCTAATTCTGGCTGCTTTTCAAACTGCCAGGCAGCTTAATGTAGGCTATTCAATAAATTATTATATTTAGTATAAAATCTGCAAAGTAACTAGTAATAGATAGTACTTGACTTTGTTACTTAAACCAGTCAGCACAAATTACTAAATACGGACTTAATTTAAATGGTACAATAGAGTGGGTAATTATGAAATAATTTTATATTAAAGTATGAATCTTTATTATTGTACCCCATTCTTAATATTTGTATTCCAAATCCCACTGTTATAATTCTAGATATTTCAATATTTCTGCATTGAAATAGAGCTTTCAGTGAGTGCTCTTCAGCTCAGAGAGGTATGAGAAAATGCGTTGATCCGCATTTGAGTTGCCGTAACTCATAAAAGCTACTCAAAAGGAAAAAAAGGCAGAACTTGTAATTCTACTTTCCAAACATCAAACAAACGCAACAGACAGAAACAGGCGAGAACAAATGATTCTCGACGCGCTCGTTTGAAGAAGTCCCGGAACTCGTCATCATCTTTCTCATCATCTCTGCAAAACTTTTTTTCTTCTCCTTTTCTCTGACAAACGGAGTGGGGGAAGGGAGAAAAAAAAGGGGGGCGAGAGAAAAAGAGGAGAAAGGACGACGTCAGACGGCAGTGGGATGGCTTTTAAAGTGAGGGAGAAGGAAAGAGACTAACGTCCTGGAGAAAAGGAGAGTCAGTGAATGAGCGTTTGGGAAAGCTGGGCTGCCCCGGGAAAAGGAGCAGCGTTTCAAAAACAAAGGACAGCGTCTTCACTTGCGCCTGCAGAGTCTCTACACTTTGACTTCCCGTAAGTAGAAGACAATACAACCAGGAGGCGTAATGTAGCTTGTGTTAAGGCACTGATTTCACACATCTCCTGTTTGTCTGGCACTTATGAGTCCTGCTGCAATTAAACTGTTGTATTTGGATTCGTTTACAGATACACACACATAAACACACACAATGCAAGAAGTCTGGCTTAAGGTTAATGTTCCTCTAACTGTCTTTTGGATAACAATGTTTATTGGCAGCTGTAATAAGGAGTTGAAGTCTGTATGCTTCATTGATTCTTCATGCTTAGAGGTTATGCAGAAGTGGCCATCTGGAGACCATTTGAATGATTTAAGCATTATCTGGAGGGATGTGCTGATATCTACAGTTGCAGCTGGCTGTACTTTGGTGTTCAGGTGCAACATCTGGTAGCAGTTGGACGTCACAGCACAGTGATCATTAGAGAAATCACCTCCACGAGAAGCCTAAACTACTTATTTTATTGTTTTTATTTCTTAATCTGTCTTTCACACATGTCCACACAGCAGCCCTGGCTCTCCCCTTCTCTTTCCACCACATGTCCTTGAAATGCAGGGAGGAGGTCCAGTTTATGTGAGAGCCACCCATGGAGCTCTCCGCCTGATACACACTGCACCGAGAGTGGTACTACATCATAAACTAAACAAAACCAGGAAAAACGCTCAGTGTTTATTCTAGCTGAGTTCAAGGACAAACTATAGTGAAACGATGAGAGAGGGGAATCGCTACTTTCAGTTCACAAATGGGCTTAACAAAGGAATAAATCCACAATCAAATCAGCATTTTGTAATGTCCAACAAATTCCAAAAGTTATTTCTTTATGATGCAGTTATGCTGTAATGAAATCATGACTGTAGTGTAATTGCCCTGACCTGCCTACTTTTCCTAAAATGAGTTTTGACAACCCCCCATATGACAAGTGCAAACTTGTTACGTGTCATTCGATGGAGCAATGAAATCGTGATAGCAAAGGGAGAATTTCTTCAGTAGTGAAAAAACAAGTTGAGTGGCTATATGTCAAATTGATCTATTGAGGTTCAAGAAGAAAAAGTCAGTAGAAATGTCTAATTTCTACTGACTGTTCCTGTGCAAAGCCAACGGAAACTTCACAGTGTTGAGTCTTCTTCTCTTGTCTGTTTTGTCTTACGTCTGTCATGTGTGATATACACAAGTCTTGATGTTGGGAAGGTGTGCAATGATACGCAAAATAATAAAAATTGATAATTCCCCTCAAATGCATTAAGACTAGAGTAACAAGCCTGTTTAGAAAATGTAAGGAGTAGAAAGTACAAATATTTGTGTCAAATATTTAAAGGTTGTCAGAAATATACGTAGTCAAGTAAATTACAAATACCTGAAAAAACAACTTAAGTACAGTAACAAAGTATTTGTACTTAACCTCTGGAGGTTTATACCAGACAGTTTAGAAACTGGCAACTTTGTTTCTTCTGTGACTGATGTTATCCTGTGCATATGTGTTTTTGAACATTAGCAGAAAGTGGTGAATCCAGGAAGATGTTTGGTAATTTATGAGTAAAAGTAGTTGAAAAAACACACCAAAAACACAAATGCCCCTTTAAGAAATTTCCCATTTTCATCTTTTTTTTTCTTTTTCTGCCAACTTTGCTTGTAAATGCAGTGCTCATTGGCAACTGACTCTCATCTCAGATACGGGAACATCTGTAAATGTACCAACAACCAGATTTTGATCCCGCTAACAACTGTATTACCACTATAGTAACATCACATCAACATTATGTTTGTTGTGATGGATTACCTATATCAAAAACTTTCTTTTTCATATTTTAGGGGAATTAATGGAAAGCAGAAGCTTCCTGGAAGGTAAAAATCTAAACCAATCAAAAAACATGTAATAAGTAAGTATAAGCAACTGTAAGTTATTAGTTAATATGCAAAAAAACACCCATGAGGTCCCCAACATAAAAAGGACTGCGTAGAGTTCTTAAGAAAAAGAAGAAAAGTTTGTTTGTGCATTCATCTTTTTTAGAAACAAACGAGGCAGCTGAAGAAGTGAGGAGGGAGGAGAACAAGGCAATGTCATGCCTGTCTTTGTGTAAGTGAAATGTGAGGGTCACCGACGGGCTTTGTGCGTCAGAAGCTGTGGGGCCACTACAGAGTCAGCGTGGGGATTGGGGGCCGGAGTGTTGCACAGATTGAATAGGTTAGGGGCCATGGCGGCCTGTCTCTAAGAATGAACGAGTGCATTCTGAGCCAATGGTGGCCTGTCTTTGAGAGCTAAAGAGCAAGCGAGGGGGCCGGTGTCGGCACGTCTTTGTGCAGCCTTTGTTGAGTCGAGTCGCACCAGATTAAGAGCGCCAATTTTATTCAGGTTTTTTTGGCACATAAACACACACAAACACATGCGCACAAACGCGCCTGGCTGATACTTTTCTCCGGGGAAGTCATGCGTTTTGATGCAATTATGCCCTGGACGAGCAAGCACAGGCTGGCACCTCTCAGAGTTTATGGGTGTGTGTTTGTTTTTGTGTTTGTGTATCAGTAAAGTGGGCTGTATTGTTTGCGCACACTGTTGGAGGGCTTCTCACTGTTGACTTGTTGTTTACATTTTATTGTCATTGAAACCTCAGGCCCCCTGGTTGTATTTGAAAGCTAGAACTGATGGGATTTCTTCACTCTTCATACACAGTCTGAAGATAACATTTAATGGGGTTTTACAGCTTGAATTGTTTTATAGTGTTTAATCTGGGACTGTAAAATAAATCTAAACTAACTCTAGAGCACTAAACAGGCATGTGATGGCTGCCATCACTCACTGGCTGACGTTATGAGACACAAGTTGTGGTAAATGCCTATCCATGGGAAACATTTTCTCCTCTTGCAGCTCTTTCATTCGCTGTTTATGGAGGGAAACAAAAGCAGTGCCTCACATGGTTATGGTTAGCAAGAAAGAGTTCTTGAAGAGAACAGCTTGGGTTGTTTCATAATATCTGGGAGGGTTGAGCAAACTTCATGTTAACCAAAGAAACTAAACTCATCTTTGTGCTTGTTGTCTTTGGTGCTTTGTTTGTTTTACATGACTCACTCTTTTGCTATCTGTCTTCTGTCTGTAGCATGAAGCATGCTGGGAAAGCAGGTGGATGTGTGCCTCCATAAGGCTCCAGGTTTAGGTGTGACATTCAAAGGGAGCCATAATGTACAAATCATTAGTGTTGTGTGTAAGTTCTCTCATTTCTTTTTTTGTTTGAAAGGCTTTGGTCCCCCTCCACCTCTGATGGTAGACATGGTTTGGGTTTCACAGGTGTCCAAAACTGCCTTTCACACTGCTGGGGGCAAAGAGAGCTTGGTGTTGATCTGTTGCTGTTCAGTACATACAAATGAGCTGAGGTGAAAATTTACGACTCATCACTGCAGGGCATGGGTGTCTCCATTCAGGCTAATGTTACAGCTTGCCTGCTGTTCTTACACCATCCTCTACCGTGCCACAACAGACTCTTGTCACTGAGAATGAAGCCTTTCTTTGAAAAAGGAAATTGAATGGGAAATTGCGAGTTGAGGGTGTGATATTTTCCCAGTGTGTGGGTGGTGTATGTTCACTATTCAGGCTACATTGCTTCATTCTCCCTCACTTCACCTAGAGCTCAGCTGCTTGCATTCTTTCTTAAAAGAGGGATATGTTTGGTCCTGCCCAACTCTGACTGGTATCATACTAGTGTCATATCTCTTGAGTTTTTTTGTTTTACTGATTCTTGGAGGGAAAGTAGACCCTCATCAGTGGCCCTTGATTTCTTTCCTGTCCACATCTTGTTTGAGTAGCTGTGTAGCCCTGAAGATGGTAAAACAGCCTCTTATGTGGTTTTGGTTTGAGGGCCTTCCTCCTGGCTGGTTCAGATGCATGGCCAGACCAGACCAGACCAGGCGCATGGGGTTAGGGAACATATTGCCTTGGTTTGAGGCTTCTGGTTGAGGATCTGTGAGTTGAGAAAAATTAGCTAATGGAGTCCTTCCAGCCCAGATCAACTGGGGGGTCATCTGATCTGGGTGGATGATCCACCAACTGAAATATGCTTCTCTAAACAGGGATGTTATATATTATAGATTATTGGAGATAAGCATTTCTATCCTTTCTTACAATTTTTAAATGTATGTCCATGAATGGATTGTTTCTCGCAAACTCTTAAAGGCTGCGTCTAACCTCCCCTTTGTAGACCAATCTGGGTCAACTATGCTTTAGATCTCTCAACCACCCACCTTCAGTCCTCATTCACTTTCACCCTGTACAACAGACTACAGTGGCCAGCACTCATTACCTCAGCACCTTGGCATGCTACCAGAGTCTTTGCTGATATCTCAGACCAATTACTCTAGATTTACAACTCAGCGACCTCCTCTAACTAACGGCCAACTGACTGACCCACATATGCCTCGTATCCACAGCTTTTTCTGGAGCTTTGAAAGGGCTTGGCTCAAACTGATGTAACGCTTCATTAGTAAAAACATTTATTGAGCATACAGGATGCTTGGCCAACAGGTTTTCACAGCCAAACTTGTAGTCCACATGGCTGGCTGTTGGCCTATAGATTGTATTTTTTTTTTAAAGCTTACATTAAAGGAAGTTTGTCTCATAGCAGCAAGAATACTGTTCATGTTGGCTCGCTGAATGAAGGACTGGAAAACTGTGTGTAAGTTGGCTTCAGGCCCCTCGCTACATGCATATAATCCTGTGTGGCAGGCTTGGTTTGTGTCAGGACAGGAGAGCAGTGTGGGAATGAGCAGGTCCAGATCAGATGTGGAACCACATTACTGCTGATCAGCTTTCATCTTGTAGCGTATCTACTGTATCATCAGCCAAACTCAGCATCATGAAGGACTCATGAAAGAAGCATGAGACTGGTGATGATGCATATCTATGACAGTGACTCCACAGGCACATGGAGAGCTGCAGTAACAAAGATCTGACCGTTTAAAGATACATATCTATCAAAAGCAGCTGGGCGGCAGAGATCTCTCACCCTCAGTGCCTTGATCGCCGGGTTATGAATAAGTTATAATTCTGTCTCATGTGCCGTGAAGTGTAAAATACTCCTCCCTTAGCACTCACGTAAAAAACACACAGAAAATCTTGACCTTGCCAAGGAAGTGCTGCTCAAGCACTTTCCCAGAAGTCTATTCAACAACCAGCAAACAAGCGGAAAGTATTCATCAGTTTCAGGATGTAGCGACCTTTCTGCACCTCAGCATGGTCACTCACACGCACATACACACATTACCAGTATATACAACATGCATGAAAGCACACACTCGTGCAAATCACCACATGTGTAGGTTAGGGTCTCAAATTAGCAAAATTGTAAATGGACTGGAACATTAATAATCTAGTGCTAAAGACATTAGATATTTAGATTGCCAGCCAATATTTAGCATTTGCACAGTACTGATAGCCTAATCCTTGTAGCATCAAAAAAAAAAGTTGTTAATAGGTTTTGTTGTAGGTTAAAAGGGTTTATTGTGGGTGTTAGAATTGGTAAGGTTTTGTGTTGTCCACAATAACTCTGCCATCGGATACATGTGTAACCCCTCTACTTTCTCATCTTAAATGTCAATATCATTGTTAGAAATGGGTGAGAAAGCCATGTACACCTCCTCAAAATGCTCTGCTCTTTACCCCACTACAAAGTCCCTTCAAGTTTTCATCTCCCTCTGAGTGCAGGCCTTAGTGAGACTGCAGGGAGCCATGATAAGGTATGAGTGAAGAGATTTCCTGTAAGAACTAGGGGAGATCACAGAAGGTGCCTGCTGACTGCCTCAACAAGGTATGTTTAGGCTCCATCCCTGTAGTTTAAAGAGGCAGAGCTGCTAATTTGAGGGCATTGTAGTCGTAACAGACAGCACCGTGCCCAGCCTTGATGGACTATAATCAGCTGACTCAAACTCCACAGAGAAACCAAAACTGTAGCTTTGGATGGCTGAAAAGAAAGACTCATGCAAACAAACATGAACATATAGTACACTATACGCATGCTGTGTGCACACTTAAAATATACATATTTACATTCTGGGAAAAAAAAACTATAATTCTGTATTCTAATGTGTATTATGAATAATGCTAAAACATTGTGCCAGGCTGAGTGAGTGCTGTTGTGTGAAACCATTGTAACTACTGTTGAATGGAAACTCTGATAACAATAAGGAGAGCCATAGTTTATGAGCCTGGAATAAACTCAGGGACTATAATAGAATAGGTCACACCCCAAACCATCCTCTAACACATAAACACACTTCAAATACCTGATTATATTGTACTCTGCCTTTTACTTATAGTTGTAGAATACAAATATGTTTCTTCAGACATTCCCTTTATACTTTTTGGCTGAAACCTGTGTGAGGGGTGACGGTTTAGATTGAAAGAAGATAGACTGACAGATCATCCTCACAATGCATGGCTGTGCATCAGAGGCTGTGGTACAGACACTGATGCTTCCTGTTTGCTTCCTGTTTATTTCTGCCCTTTCCTTTTTGGCTGATAATGAATAGTAACATCACAGTAGTGTCCTTATCCTGTTGCTATAACTTCCCTCAACTCAGTTGTAACTTAAATGAACTCCCTCAGTTTATCTTCAAGCTGGGTAATTATATGTACACGGTGTATTTTGGCTGATGGTTGGTGTAATCTCTAATTAGAATACAAAATTGTAGAATGAGAATAAAATAAATTTTAAGTGGAGACGTACCCCTGAAACTCTGCTCAAGCAGCGTAGATGGAATGAGTTGAACTTGACTGGGAATGTTACAGATAGGCATCACTGTCAAATCCAAGACAAAGCAAACCTGTGCACAAAGTAGAAGCGCAATCCTTCATACTACAGCAGAACCACTTGAAAACACAACCGTGGAGTGCAGCAACAACTGAATCCTGCTGAACTGCAGCACACCCGCATCTTAAGTGTTGCAAATCTCATACCTGCTCCTCAGATGTTGTCATGCCTGTGACTTTGTTATTGTGACCCAGTTCTGCTGGTTCCTAGTCAACCCCATACTTCAGATAAATCAGTCAGCATTTTTAGCTGCATGAGATAATTCTATTATTTTGTGGTCTGAAGTGTTTTGCCTTGAACTGACTCAGATTATATCAGACAATATACAACATCAGTGTTCATTCCTTACAGATGTGGTGGGATGATTTTCCATCCTAAATGGTGGCTGGTGGGGAGGTTATGTATAACCTAATTCCACACTTATTCCCCTCCGGGCATCAGGGTGACTTGAAACACTTAATGAATGTTTGCACGCCAAACATTTCAACACCAACAAAATGACACATTCAGTAAGAATTAGAGCGATAACACAATAGAACAGCCTCTCTTCCCTTTTATGTGAAAGTTATGAGTCTATTATACTGAAGTTAAGCCTGATTAATGGCTCATCTCATAGCTGATCCAGATCGGAGACAGTTTTAATAATTGACTTCACACAAACTATAAACAAACAAACAACTTATTTCTCACCACCAAGCCACGCAAAAAGCGGTTTTATGTCCCCAGATTTTGAGATACCAGTCTCTGAGATTTCTGCCCCACCCTAGTACAATGGAGACAAATTAAATTGTGTTTTGAATATTGTTCAACAACTTGTCTGTCAAAAAGAAAAGATCCTGATTCGATCCTCAAACCTCGCTGCCGGCTATTCCTTCAGCGGAAGAACAAAAATACTGGAATGACACAAGTTTTTTAAAATGCATTTTTTAATAGCCTGTCTCCAGAAGTCTGAATTGCTGCCAACATCTCTGATTTGCTCTGCGGTTCAAATTTCTAGTGTTGTGCTCATTGACCGCCATTTGCCCCAGTTGGAGAAATAATAGACCAAATAGAGCTTTGTATGTGTGTTTGGGGAATGGGGACATCATCTTCCTATGCCAGAGTTGCAAAAATTTTAAATATTGTTACAAAAATTGAGATATAAATGGCGAGTAGAACAAATCAATACAACAAAAGTTTAGAGTTGCAGAAGTAAATTCTGATGTATATTGCTGCCACAAAATGATGTTGATGTGATACAGAACTCGCTGCTGATTTGTTAGGGCAAAAAAACAGAACAGAACATAACAGAAATATATATACGTAAACACAATGTTAAACCGAATGAATTAAGTAAAACAAAATGGCAATTCAGTCTGATTATCAGGGTAATCTTTTAATGCTGCTAGCATCATGAATGAAATTCCCTTCACCTGCAAAGTATTGGAGCAAAGGACTTAAATTATTTATTTAATTATTATTATTCAGAGACATATCTCAAAAGCAACACTATCTATGATTAGACTAATAGATACACAACTTGGAAATACCAAGGACCCCTCCCGAACTCCATCAGTGAGATCCACCAAGACAGCAGAGTCAACCATACTGTATTTAAACCAGACCCCACATATTTTCCTGTCTGTATCATAATGCTGGATCATGACATCAGACGACTTCTGAGAAACCTCTGTGCTCCCATGAGACCACGGCTGTGTCGAGGCCAGTGTGGTCACAGCAACTAAATCATAACATAGCAACAGTATCACAATGGCTTTGATTGGGACCTATACACACACACACACACACACACACACACACACACATTCAAAAACACACTTGAACACTGGCTCACATGCACACACAGGACTGCTTTGAAAATATCATCTGTTAAAGGTTACAAGTTATTTGTAATCAGGTTTTGATTGCTGTTGAATAGAGAACAAAGTTTTTTTTTTTGCTGCAGCATCAAAACTAACATAATAAAATGCTACAATGAAGCCAATAACCATTCTTTCTAATATATTGCATTTGTTCAGACTGTAATTTTGATTGAGCTCCAGTTCATGTCATGTGTGTGCTTGCTGCAGTGAGGATCTGGCATGTGTTACTGTCAAATGCGGCATGCTGTAACAGAGCTCTGCACTGATCTGTGCTGACAGCTGCTCAGTGGAAGACACACAACACTCCAGTCATTCTGCAGATAAAATCAAGCACGTAAAGGCTTATTAATCATGAGTAAAATGATGACAGAATAAACTGTTTTCTCTAACAGTTGTGTGTGTGTGATTCATCTTGACTGTTCCAGCAGACATCTGGAAGTGTTGCTCATGATACACTCACAGCTGGCTGATAGTGAATCTGAAGTGGCACTCTGTGGGAAGATGGTGGGTGAGGATGGGTCTGTTTGATGACAGTGGTACAAATTATACATCCTGTGGAGCATCCAGCAAGCACAAGGGGGCTTGATGATTCATTGTGGACTTGGAAATCAGTCGCTGTTGATTCTTCTTACACTGTTTCCCTATTTTTCTCCCCCTACCTCTTTGTACAAGACAGTTACTCACACTTTATAATATGTATACAGATTATGTGTCGCTCCCTGAGCTTCTTGTGTCTCTGTGTCTGTAGGTGTGCTTTTCAAAACAGTATCATGGCTGAGGGAAGCTGCTTCGGTGCATTGTAGCTGTTTGGGATGACCAGAGCAGAGAAGAAAGCAAAAAGTCGTGAGAGGAGGGAAAACATCTGCTCACAGAGGATAAGATCAGCAGCCCATCTGGATCTGAACAGGGAACCTACTGGACCTTTCTCTGTGTAAGGAAAGGAATTTAAACTCCCCAGTATCAGTGCTCCATCACTCGGAGGAGCGTTAAACAACTTCAAGAATTATTTCTTTTAATCATCGGTTGTTACCATAACAGAAAGACTTAACGCCATGTGCCATGTTATTGTAACATGCCGCTCCATGCTCTGGACACTGCTCAGTATTGTGGTGGCCTTTGCTGAGCTCATTGCCTTCATGAGCTCTGATTGGTTGCTGGGATTCCCTCGGTCGGACTCCAGCACGAGTGGGGCTGGAGTGGACTCCGGGGAGTACAGGCCGTCTCTTGGCCTCTACAGCCGCTGCCTCCGTATCGGGACCCGGGGAGTAGGGGTGAGCTGCGGGCCCTACGCTGGGACATTTGGAGAAGTGGCCAGTGGCTTCTGGCAGGCTGCAATGTTGTTTCTGGCAGCAGGGACGTTAGTGCTGGGAGGAGTGGCTTGCATCTCCATCTTCAGCCTGTGCTTCCAGAGCATCTTGAAGAAGAGCTTATTCAACATCTGTGGACTGCTTCAGGCTATTGCAGGTGAGACCTCTATCTGTGTGTGTGTGTGGATATGTGTGTTTAGTACATATCTGACACAGAGAAAGGAGGCCTGTGTCCAGATCTTCCATAAAAACTGTGCTCTCAGAAATAAGTTTCACTCAAATTGGAACATTTAATAGTGTAGAGTAGGGATAGACAGGAAACACAGGAAAGAGTAAGAGAGATTAATGAAAGCAAGACCAAGAGCACATTCTTTAGTACAGTTGTATACATTCTTTGTGTATACAACTGACTCATAAAACTTCCCATAAAAATTAAGTTTTCTAATATACTGTATCTCTTTCAGACATTGAATGTATGTCTCTGTTTTAATAAAGGCTGGTGGACTGTGAACAAACAGGGACAACAATGAAAATATTCTCAGACAAAGTCCTGTTATAATGTTCTCACTAAACCAAACTACTTGAACTTTAAAAACTTGACAAACAAGATGAAGATATGCTATGATTTCTGCAAAACAGAGGAAGTAAAACTGAAACTGTTGGGCTTCCTCTGGGTCCACACATTCAAAGTTGCATGTTGTAAAGGAAGGAAATTGTAAGTTCCCACAAAATTTGCATTCTCTAAAACTGTATGTTATGGTGATCAAGCTGAGGAAGAGCTCAGTCAGAGGAACCATGAACAAAATCAAGAAGGCATACATAGGCACACATAGTTAAACATCTATACAAGTATATTACTGTACATTTTATAATATTGTCTTTAGGAAATTTCAGGGTTTTATTGAGTTTACAAGTTGCCAACATATGTCCATCGCACATTCATCCTAGTTGGAGATTGAATATTCAAACCAAACGTCTTTTTGCATGTTTCTTTCAACAATGGGCTCACAGGTGTGTTTGAGGTGGAAAAATCTGTCGAGTAGGTAATCTATCATCATGGGAACATCACTGTAGGGCAGGTCAAATAAGGTCTTTCCTCTCATCACAAATCAAATGCTTGTCCGCTGAAAAATAGATGGGTTCTTCACCAGAGTTGAGTCACCATGTTCCCAGCTGCACTGTGATCTGTTTGTGCTTTCAGCCCCGATGTTTACATGTACGTGACTAAACCCCTCGTCTCATCGTCTGCTCTCCCTCCAGGCCTGTTGCTGATGGTGGGCCTCATGCTGTACCCTGCTGGTTGGGGTTCAGAGAAGGTGATCAGCTACTGCGGCCCCGAGGCCTCGCCCTTCAGGCCTGATCACTGCTCACTCGGCTGGGCGTTCTACGCGGCGATAGGAGGAACGCTGGCAAGCTTCCTGTGTGCTGTTCTGTCCGCACAGGCTGAGATTGCCACCTCCAGCGATAAGGTTCAGGAGGAGATTGAGGAGGGGAAGAGTCTGATCTGCCTGCTTTGAGCCTTCAGAAACCTTGGGAAATACCTGTACATCTCAGTGGAGGGAGTGACAGACGTTTCTCTGAGTGATTTTCGTCATGATAGCCTGCATAAAATCAGCTGATTGTTGAAAAGTTGTTGATTTTTTAATCTTTAGGCTCTCTTCAGAAACTCGCTGAAGCCTACCTAATGATACCAAGAAAAAAATATTATTCCATTCTACAGCTTCAGGTTACACTTCCAGAAGGGCTCTGGTATAGCAGCAGGCTAAGGAACATTACCTATACACTTATCCAAAGTTTTTGACCAAGATACTGTTTATTTTTGTAATATTTCTTGCCTTAAACAAACCACTGTATTGAAATAACAGGAGATTAGTTAAAGAAATTGGTAGGGGATGTGTTGTTAGTGTTATTGTGGACAGGTTAAACACTGCCAGTAAAACAGTGTGTAGGGTTATAATGTCATTATAATGTTCATTCATATGGTTCACCTGCAAACCTCAACAAACCACTAAATACTAGCAGATGAATCCACTAAAACACCCAACAACGCTTGCATAATGCTCTCCGTATGGACGTGTGTGTGTGATAGACATTAACTGTTGAGGTTTATGAACGTCCATATGTTTAGATTCTGTGGAACAGCAGGACAATAAGACCCTCTAGCCTGTTTTTTAAATATGCCACTTAAGGGATTGTTCACTTTAAAGGGAGTTCCTCCTGTTAAATGGATTGTTTGTTTGCACCTCATTAACAATGCGTGCAGAAAAAGAACAGAGAATCTACCACATGGTGAGCTTTCATGAGGGGATGTTTGCTCACAGCAAGATAAAGCAGGCGGCACCATGGCTTATCATTAGTTACCTTATGTCACACCATATAGACAAGAGCTAGCTTTGTAAAGATGTCCACAACACAAAAAAAAGTGAATACAATTTTGTTTGGTACATTTGGAGTATTCCTTAAGGTCAGCTGGTCTTGTGTTTTGCACTTGGTCCTTAATTCATTTCACATTGCTTCATATTTTGTTCACAGGTTTTCATTTTTTTTCCAATAGTGCTACATTATGTTGAGGTAAATGTCACGTGATTGCTTTTATTCTTTGTAGATGAGATGTGCAATAATTTTACTATAGCGCGTTTGTTGTGAGGGTGAGTGGACTGAGAGGATGAAACTTAAGAGTGAAATCATGATATGGATTTGTATTAAAAAATTAGCATTTCTAACCTGTCTGTGCTTGAATTAATATGTTGACTGTCCCGCTGTTTTTGTTACATTAACAAAAGAGCATCTGTGGCACATTGTATGATGCTGCATGTATGAGAGATTGATATGTCTGAGTAGAGATACAGTCTGTACTTTGTACTCAAATAAACATGGCTTTCTTTAGTAAATCTATCTGTGATTAGGTTCGTAAAACTTTTTTTTTACTTTGATATTTTATATAAGCTTTTCATGCTCCTGTATAACCTAAACTTCCTGAGTAAACACTGACACCTAGAGATGGAAAGTAGACATCACAGAACAGTAGCTAAATCTAGTCCCTCCCAACCTGGGTAACACACATTTGAGGATTAAAAATGAAATACTTACACAAGTTTTACTTGGTCAGTCCACTAAAAAGATCTAAATTAGGAGTTTGACCAGTGAACATCAACTTTTTGGTTGAAATGCTCACAACTCCTTTATAACAAACAGTGACAAGAGGTCATGAGTAGACTTCAGGCTTCATTTTAAAGGGTCACAACAGGCCAGAAAGACTAGAAACCATGGCTGATCCTGATCCTGAAATTTTGTTTTAAATAAACAGGACAAGCCTTTACTTGATTCCAGTATTTGTTTCACAATAATTTACACAGATAAGAAGCAGATTATAGGTAACTACATAATGGTTTTCTGAAAATCCACAAATGTTTCTTTCAAATTTTATTTCATGTTAATACCATAAATATACAAAACTCAAACTATTTCACATGCAACAAAGGCCAGACAAGAGTGCATTACGTTTTCTTTTTACATGTGATTGATAATGGGGATCAGATTTTCAACTTTACAAAATATACAAGTGTCCCTTTTGAATGAGTTTCTTCTCTGATTCAGTGAAATAACATGGTCACAGGTCAAAAACACAGTTTTGTGTCAGCAAACTACAGACACCTCATTCTGTACTGCAGACCAGCTTGCCAAATACATCAAGAAATTACTCACTGTGGCATGGCTTCATATAACAACAGTTTAAAACTATAGATACATGGGAATCATGTGGGTGTTTGTAGCAAAGAAAAGTTGTGTAATACCTCAAAGTAAAACATGGCAAGGGAACACATCACAAACCAAGATTTAAAAACAAATCTATATGGACATTTGGTAGATTTCTCACAGCTTTTCAGGACATAGAATAACACTTGAGGGAGATTTTTTTTTTCTCTTTCATACCGATCAAACACACATCCTCATCCACACAAGCACACCTCTTGCAGTGTCAAGTTGCAAAGTCATTAAACACTTTTAAATCTAGCCGACGCTATGATCATGTCATTACAAAACCACACAAACATAATACATTATATGAAATCAAAACCAAACAAAGTTGAAATGCAAACAACTTAAATTACACCATAAATAAAAACATGTTCGTCTTTTGCACTAAGTTCAACGTAATACAAGAAATGTGCAATGAATTTAAAACAAAACATTTCCAAAGGAAAACAATACTGCCAAGATGTTATTATTTTGTGACAAATTAACCTTCAACTTTGTAACACTGTCAGGAGTATTCTGTCCACGATAATGTTCAGTTCATACATTTGTAATACCAGCGGTACCAGTCATCAGTCATCTGTCATGCACATCTTCAGACACTCACCACCACTATGAGGTGCTAAAGCACGATACAAATGTAACCCACGTCCATATTTGACTTCAGTGACAATAGTGTGTACAACGTAGTGCTGCATAACACTGTTATGTATATAAATTACTGTATCTTATCAAGTCCAATCCTCTGTTATCTTAATGTTCTTTTTGGCTATGAAACGTCTGATGTCAGTAAACCAATACTGACAGAGGAAAAATCCCAGGACTAACTTTCTTTGTCTGTAAAAATGCAATCAGACTGTTAGTCTATGCTGTGTACATATACACAGTATCAATGTGTTTAGTATCTTATGTATGCATGTTAATCTCAAGAAAAATCATAGCTTTGTCACTGTCCAGGCCATCTTCTGTGAGAAAAGGCAGGTCACTTCTCTCTCTCTCTCTCTCTACGTATGGTATGCGTCCTTTTCAACAGGAAACATGACAGCAGGAGGCCACGACCAAGCGGCTCCCGATCCATAGCAGCGTTAGTTTTTAACCAAGTGTGAGGGGCTACAAAATGTAGTCTGTTAGTAACAAACATACATACATAAAGGGAAATGTGAATATTTCTCACGTTTTTCCACCCTTTTAGTGCACCAGGCCAGGAAAGCATCTGAACCTCTTTTAGGTTTGTGGTGTGAACTGGTGACCTTGCTGTTGACCTTGCTGTTGACCTGGGGGTTCAGAGTGTCTTCACAAATAGATCCAAACATCATCAATCAGTCAAACAGCCACTGGGACATGCAATAACTTTAACTATAGTTTACTTCTCACAGAAGCTAAGGGGAAAATAAGTAGGCAGACATTCCCCCCAAAAACCAGCTACCACCTGTAGCCAAAGAAAAGGCTGATAGTGGAGAGAATGACTTTGCCAAATAAACAGCTACCTTGAGTGTGCTAAACATGCATTTCATTATCATGCTGTCAGATCTTAGTAAGCCACAAAGATGCTGACCCAGCCCGCGTTGCCGATCAAAGTAGCACACAAAGTGGAAATAATTGTTCAACTGACAGGTGTCACTGTAGCACTGCTAGAGGCTGCAGGCAGGTCCTTAAGTAAGAACATACCGTCACATTTCTATTTATATGGATTACCAGGATGGTACTTGTCTCGGACTAAAAGCACAGATATAGGACAAGGTAAAATGCACCTTTCAGATCTCAATGACCAAGCACTGGGTTATATAAAAAAAACAAGTCAGAGCCACAATTTTCTTGTGAAGTACACATTCACACACAGGCCCAGCCACTCAAACATACACTGTACTTTCGGCATGTGATCAAGAAAACAGAACTATGTGCAAAACACCATGATCAGATTATCACTTTTCATGAGCCTATACTGTATTAACCAGGCAGGAAGCTGTTTGGAGGTCGACACCATGATAAAATAAAGGTATGCTAGAACTGCGACCTCTGACTGACCTAGAATCACCTCAGGGTGACAGGAGAACAGGGAAAGCGAAGGAGGGAGATGAAATCCCACACACTCAGAGCACACCTTGAGTCACTTAGTGGATGTTTCAAGGGATGTGAGCAGACACTCATCTGACTGAAAAGCAGACAGGAAGGATGTAAGAGAGTTTTTACTGAAACTTGATTAAGGTGAAGGTGGACAACTCTAGTCACTTTATCTTAATACTTCTCTGTTACCTCTGGTCTCTGACTCTCTCTGACACTTTTTAAGCAAAGTGTGCAGGGCAATCTTAGCATAACAACATTCATAAATTGAATCAATTTGATCTGAGAGCCTGCAGGGCCAGAGTTGTGCACCTCTAACTTTTGAGTGTGTGAGTGGGTGTGTGTGTGTGTGTGTGTGTGTGTGTGTCGTACGTGTGAACATGTATGCATGTTTGTGTATGTGTGTCAGTTTATGGCTGAGGTTTGAAGGCCCCACGAGCAGCATTGGATGCAGCATTAGCTGCAGCGTTGGCGGCTGCAGTCTGAACGGTCTTGTTAGACATGACCCCGGTTGCAAACTCCTGCTGGGCCTTCTCAAAACTAGCACCAGTGGTACGATACAGTGCGTGCACCTGGAAAGAGCAGAGAAAAAAATAGGTTGGAATTAAGTTAAGTGATTTAAATCAACCAGAAGGTCTTTAGCACAGCACTGAGTGATTCACAACATTGACGTTTAGCTCAACATTATTAGTGAATAGTAATGACATCCTGTTTATTCTTTACACCTTGCAAAAGTCTTCTTGGACCCACATTCCCTGTATTGTCAGTATGTGAATACATGTGTCCACTCTCCAACATTCCAACTATGAAAACATTTATTAATAGTGTTCAAATAATTATCATTAACCTGTTTTTAACCTTGTTTTCATGGGCTGTCTCCCATAATGAGATGGCTTGCTACTGCCATTAGGTTTCATGCATCTCAGGTCAAGTCAATTAAACACGGCAACTGGGGCTGACATGTTGGGATTAATTTATGATTGTGTTACCTTTTTAAACATAATGAGCGAGCCCACAGACAGTGCAGTGAACAGAGCTGCAATCAGCAACATGATGATGCCCACTGGGATGCTGGTGTTCAGACCAGTTAAAGCTGCGATCCAACCACTGGCAAAACAAGATAATGACAACATGAGAGAACTTCAGTACACACACACACATAGAGGTACAGAATCGGTAAAAACAATAAAACACTCACCATGTTCCCCAGCCAGTGATGCCAATAGTTTGTAGGACGTGAACTCCAAACTGACAGATATAGACGAAGAAGAAGACAAAGAAGCGGAATGAACTGTCACTCCTGTAGTGGAGATAGAGAACAAGGTAGTCAGAGAACGAGGCAGAGGTAATAAAATGTCTTCAACTCTGTCACTAATTAATTCTCCATTAAAAATTAATTCCTCTCTACTTTCCTCAGACGGTCTGCCTTTATTCATGTCTTTACTTGATATGCTTTTTCCATAAAGCAAAATATTATTGGGAAATATTAAGTGTAATGGTAGAAAAGGACATAACAGTCAACTGCTGGCTCCTTTGAACTAATTTCATACTCGGAGTAATCGCTGCCTGCCTGCTTAATCAGCATATAATGGTTGTCCACAGAGA